ATATATATATCTATCTATGCATGCATGGATGTATATATGTATAGATACATGGATAGATTGTTACAGTTACAGTTATTTAACTTGGAGAAAAAGAACAACCTCGTTTTTGAAACGAGGTTAAACCTCTGTGAAAATAGTGAAAAAAATCTCATTATGAAGACATATAAGAAACAGTGATGCTCCTTTATGGAGGCAGATATCTAAAATAACAGCAGTCTGTACTCAAAACACAGACACAGGCTGCTGCTCAGGACATAGGAATATATATAGCACAAGAAGGTGGAAAAATTTCACCAGCTACCATTGAGGAATCTGGGCTATGTGTGGGCCTGATATTATGAGAAAAGTAAAAGAAGGCTGAGAACAGACTGTAGAGATTTACTTTTTTAAAGAAGCATAGATTTAGTGAGCTTGTGTTAAAACTTGGCTAAGAAAATGTCTGGGAACTGTAGCAGAAACAATATATCCTGAATATATTCAAGGTAACAGGAGTCTGTGTGCCCTCTTATATCAAGGGCGTCACCTCAAAAAGCACACTCAGATCTAAGCTCAAGATTAATAAGGTGAAGCTGAAACAACTTGGTAGATGATGCAAATAAAAAAGGACTACTTATTTTATAGATACTAGTAACCTTGCAGATCAACACCATATTGCACACCCAAATATTTATGGTTAAACAGCGGAACTCTCTCCAGTACAACACAGTTTAAGATCTCTTGTTCAGTCTAGGTAATGAAAATTAACAATCATTACTTACGACACAATTGAGCTCCAGATGCTTTTGAAGATACATGAAAGGCAAAGCCCCTTTAATCAGAAATCATGTAATTGCCACTGTCCTATGTCTACCTGAGTCCCACACTTGCCAGCTCTTCTTGGCATGGACGGTTTTTCCCCAGTCTGTCATTACGTGGCAACGGTGCCTTGGCAGCAGGTCCCTGGCTCCTTGAAGCATTTGGTGCAGTGCTTTAGCCTGGACATGAGCTACTCTTTGCACCTCTGGAGCAAGAACATTATTTTTCTCCCCTTTGGTAAGGTTTACAATGATTACCTCCAATGGTAGCTCATAAAACAAGCTAGCCAATGCAAGTCTTGCTCCACAGAGGAAAAAAGGCAATTATGGAGAACATACTGGATCCTCTTAGTAGCCCTTACATTATTCTTACTGTGGAAGCTTGTGTCTTCCATTCCTTTCCATCATTTGTTCTTGTTTCTAGTGGACACAGTTGAAAGTGATCACCATCATTCCTATCAGGTAGGTCTTCCTAACATCTCTAATAAGTATTCTTTTCCTCACACACATTGGTCTCCACTGGATCATCTTGAGGGGGAATTCCTGGGGACTGCCATCCAGAGAATGCACAATGATTACATCCTGTGCTCCCTGTTGACTCTGGTGAAAGATGAGGTGGTGGGTTGTTCAACTTTGCTGAGACAGAGAACAACAGTCAGACTTTTGGGGTTTTTTTTCAAGGCATCTAGTTTTCTAGCATCTTTGATGTCTGTATTTTTCAGGGTCTATTTTAGCTTTGTAGTTACATGTAAATAATAATTTTTTTAAGTATTGTTTTCATTCTGGAACTGAATATCTTGAATTTCCATATGCTGAAATGAGTAGGAGTGGTGGAAGACTCTCCTATTCTTTCTGTCAGTTCCTTCCTAATTACTTGGAACTGGGATATAGATAGAACAGGCAAGATACTCTACTTCCCCAGAATTTGCATTTTCTAACATGAGTTCGATTTTTTGGCATTAAGCGTTCAGGGATGTTTGCTTTGGTAGTTTATTTTGAATCCTGTTTGGCTTACTTTTTTGTTAGGTTATGTATCTTCACAGGTTTTTTTCAGGTCTGTGTAACACAGTAACATAGTGCACACCTTCATGATACGTGCAATCCACCCCACAGTATGCTGCTACTTGTGCTGCCTACACAGTAGCTGTGTGGGATAATGCTAAACAGCCCCAGAAGGCAAATGTACCCTGATTCCACACCAGTGTTCAAAGTGAACCAGTCTCTTACTTAGATGGACTCCCAGATGCAGCCATCCACCCCTCTCTGCAAGGCTGTGATGATGGAGTAAGAGCTGAGTGCTGAAGTTCCACATGGCATTCCTGAGGCTGATGTCAAGTAACCTTAAAAAAAAAAAAAAAAAGAAAATCAGTGAAGCTGGTGATGAGCAAAGCATGTCATTGCACATGTTCTTTCAGGATGCTTTTTTGTGTGAATATCCTGTTTTCTGGGCCTGAGTCCCAAGGCTGTTCTCTTCCAATTCTGCATCCATCATCTGTGTCATCTTGTGTGCAATTTGCATCTTCCACTGCAAATTACCTCCCCCATTGTGTAGGGCAGAGAGACACTTTCCTAGTCTCACATTTTAGTATTTTAACAACTCTGCGTTTCCTCTCATCAAAATTTGGGGGGTTTCCCAGGTTTTCTTTTCAACTTCTAGAATTTCACTTCTGCAGTGACATCATGGGCTCTTAGCATTTCTACCACAATAAAAATGTCTCTCACTGTATTGTTGCTGCTACCTACTGGACTGCAGCTTGGTTTTCTGATATCACCGCTGCACCAACGGCAATCTCTTATGAGGTCAGATCATCTCATGTCACAGAATCTCATGTCAAAGTAGGGCTAACTTTTTGCTGCCAACTTCTTTAAAATGCTTTGATTATCTGTAGTATCTCTGTTGTACATATTTCCCTATCTTTGCTTTTGATCAGCCCATTTCCTGTTTGAACTACCCACACAGGATTTTTGTAACTTGGTAAACAAGATCTGTGGTTTCCTACCATGGCCAAAGTTTCAGTTTCAAGTGTTAGGCAATTTGATACATCTCTGTTCATCTTTCCTTGGACATTATTAGTCAGTGACTTTTTGCTCTCACGTTCCTTTCTGTAATTCCACACTTTTCATCAGCCTTAGCATTATAGAATTTTTATTTTTGAGGTTTTATTTTCTTTATGATTCATCCTTTCTGGGCTTACCAGTTTGCTGTTCTGCCTGTATTAAAGCTGCTGCAGATAGATCACATTGTTTTCATGAAGCAACAAGGCAAATGTAATGGCTCGTTCCCACTGAGAGGGCCCTGCCCACCCTTAACTCCTTCCAGTCTTAACCACATGTTCCCACCTCCTCCTCATGCTGTGGTGCTCATCTGTCTCTTATTGAAGTAGTTCAGCTAACTAAATCAGCAGAAAGCCAACCAGTTTAAAAAAACTAATCAGCTTTTGTCAGGTTGGTGAGCTGAAACAGCTCACAGTGATGTTGGACAAGGGCCAGCCCTAGCTCAAGAGAGAAACTAGGAACACCAGGACAGGAACTGGAGAGAGACAGGATCACCTTACATAGACGGTAGCAGCCTAGTTTTACAGAGACTTGGACACACTGTGAAATGTCATAATGAGCATTTTCCCTTCGTGACACGATTTCTCCACCTCACCTACCCTTGACTACAACAGTAACTTAACTTGTAGAATCACTGAGCGACCTGAGCTGAAGGGGAATTCAGAAGGTCTCTGGTATGTTCACCTGTTCCCTTGCAGGGTCAATGCTTAGCTTGGACCAAGCTGGTCAGGGTTTTATCCAGCCACATCTGGAAAACCTCCAAGGATGGAGAGTGCCAAAGCTCTCTGAGCAGCCTGTGCCAATGATTAATTATCCTCACAGTAACTTTTTTTCTTCTTATAAATCTGAACATGGTCAAAGTGAGAATATCATGCAGCACTCTTTTGTTTTCAGCTTCATACCACTGATTTCTAAGTAATTTTGCCTTTGAAGTCCATCCTTACCAGACTATTCTGCTTGGCATTATATAGACCATCACTGATACCATCAGTTATATAGCACATCTGACCCTGTGTGGTGTTCTTGTTAGTAGCTATTTCTGAGTCTTTTTGCCATCTGGCAAGACTCATATGTTTAAGCCAGCAAAGTGCTTAAAAATACATCAAACAACAAGCACAGATCAGTCTGTCTCCCATCATTTTGGTAAAGCTTTCACAGTCTTACTATTTTAACACAAGGCCTAGGTAGGCTGTACGACCCCAGCTCTGCTTTACTAAAAAAGGTTGCTAACCTATGAGTGATAGTGTATAAACTTAAGCCATATATTAAAAAAGCTGAAACGAGGACACAAGTGAAATTGTTGAGCCTGCAGCAATCACTCGAGGACTGAAGAAAAAACTAACAACTGAAAAAGCTCTAAAACCCTGAGGAAAAAAAAAAATCAAATAGAAAATAGCAATTCAGCAAAACTGAGGACCATTCTATGGCAAGGAGCAGTGGAGTCTGGCACTTCCCCATGTGATTACCATCTGCCTGACCAGCAGAAACCCAGTGGTTACGTGCATCAGAGGAAGTGAGGGCATTAGTGCCAAAGCTAATAGCACATTACTCCCAGCCATTTATTGTGTGTACAATCCAACAAATAGCATAATTGTTCTGTACTCATAAATTGTGTTTGTGATCCTGCTTTCGACCCTCCACGCACGGGAAAAGACATCCATATAAAAGTGACCAAATATGCTAAGAGGGTTATACTACACCACTGCTCTATCCATTTCTTGATTATTACATTCATCTTTGGTATTCAGATTGCCCATGAAAAGAAACAGGCTCAGCTTTGGTATTTTTTAATTCCTACTATGAAGGCCATTTTGGAAGTACATGTTTGTGTTCTCCACATTTCTCTGTCACTGCCAATATTGTGCAATATCCATTTGGCATGCTCAGATCACCTGTTTTGTTGGCACACTTCCTTTTCCATCCTAATTGCCTGCCTTCCTGGGGTGACTCAGCCTGCAAGCTGGCTGGCTCACCCGTCATTGCCCCTGTCATCCGCACATGGATGTGTGTCAAGGCAGGATATGGGTGGAGATGGAAGCACAGCCCAATTACAGAATCAAGAATGCAAGGGGTAATGCATGAAATTAATATTGGTAGAGGGCAAACTCTGGCTTTCTTCCTCAAATCCTAAACACTACCCACCTCAGGATGACTTCCAGCAGAGCAAAGAATTGGACTGGTGTTGCAGTCCAGGGAAACAGTATTCACAGACACATAACAGAGTCAGGCAGTTCATTGTGTAATCCATTAGCCAAAGAAGCTAGCCACCAAAGCTGGAAAAAAAGAAAAAGAGAAAAAAATTAACTAGGAACAAATGTAAAGGAAAGTTGTTTTTTGAAGTTGAAATAAGCTATCACTTTATTTCAGCTAAACAAGATTGTTAAAAAAATGAATTAAACAATGGTGGGAATGTCAAGGTTTGGAAGAAAATGCTGAAGAAGATGGAGGGATGAGAAAAAGTGACAATTTGGTTTGTGAAGCCGCATGCTGTCCTGTAGCGAGGTCAGCTGTAACCCTGCAGATGCATCAAGGAGACAGTTGTTATGAGTTTGGGGAAGGAAGGAAGGGTGAGTCTGCTGTCCTGTACGTTTTTACTGTGTGAGCACCCCTCAGTGACTGGCCAACACCTGATGATCTGCCCAGCAACACAACCCTGGCAGCCAGCCAGCACTTGGTGATTTAGTCCAGCAGCAGCACTGAAAAATGTCTGTCTCCAATGGTGAATGGATCAGCACAACTGTGTGACCTCACCAGGCTCAACACAGTCAATGACGCACTTTCGGCACACACGCAGTTGTTTATCAAGGCATACAAACATGCAGGGCTGCTACCACCTCAGATCAGCAGAGGTAATTTTAACATACGCTGAAGTCTTCTAGAAGCCAAAGGAAATGAAGTTGCAACTGAAATTTGGGCATAAGCATAAATGGCTGCCAAACTGCGGCCTGTATACACCACCTGATGCCTGGTGTTGTATGTTTTCTGGTTTACAAATTTTTTTTAAATAACCCATCAGGTCTGAAACTACCCAAACTCTCTTGTAACAGGAACGGGACCTTTTTGTTCTCAGATGTAATAAAAAATAGTTCAAAGAAAATGCGTAAGTTATGAATAGGTGACGACATATAGCTTTTCAGAATTGAGAAAGATTACTTTTCCATGCTTAGAATTAACTTTGATTAACCTTATTAATTCCCATCATTAATCATTGATGCAAATGAGCAGCTTCTTGGAGGAGAATGGGACCCAAGTCACTGTTGGACCTGAGGGAATGGCAGGTGCAGTTCATCTTCTCCAGCCCCAGAGCTGTACAGGCACCAAACAGCTAACATTCTCCCACTGATCACAAAGCCCACAGGTAGCCCAAACAACCTGCCCTTTCTCCTACAAAACTGGCTGAAACTTTAGAAGGAGCTGGGACTACTGGGAGGATGATACAGACACAAGGTGTGAACCCAAGGATACTGAGCTCCAAGTATTCCACTACGAATATATCTGTTAACTACCAGTGGTGTCCCCTGATGGGACCATATCAAACCAATATTTAAGAAATAAATAATTTAATCACTCACAATCTAGTAAATCCTATTGGCATCATATGTAGGGCATTATAACACATTATGAAGGAAGTAATAATTAATAGCTAGATAAATGGGAAAAAGGATTAAAATGCATTGATGTCTTGAAAAGAATAGATCATGCTAGAAATCATTTTCTTTAATAGAAACTGAGACAAACATGCTTTCAGGCTCCTGGAAAAAAATTGCATTTGGTATAAATCAAGCCTCAACGAAAGGATTCAATGCTGCCTGTATAAATATGTCACACTGGACATGGTGTGCATTCAATACCACCCTATGGTGATATGCAACATCATTTAGGAATGCATAACATAGATAATCAGCAAAAAATAGATCAGTGAGTAAGGCTGACCATTATCCCTCTTCCTGCTTACACCCTCAAGTCTTTAGAACACACTGTTTGAGTGTGATAAGCTTTACCATTACATTTCATAGCTAAATTGTGATTAGTGTATGTGATATATACAAAGTCACATGTGATGGACTCCATAAGCCTGTGAAAAATGTGGGCCAAATTAAACTGAGGACTATGGAGAGAGAACACCGGAGAAGTTAAGATATGACCCCAGGAAATGGGTGAGGAGAAGAGGAAAAAGAGAAGAGGAAAATGTTCCTTCTAAAGGAACTGGAAAAGGAATTCAAATATGAGAAAAGTGGGATGATGTAGGTTTGAGTGAATCCTCAGCACCAAAGACACCATATCCAGCTCAGGTGCTCCAGTACATCACCACCACTGTCCTAGTTATTAATGTGGCAGTTCAAAGTGAATTGTCACTAAACCAAACAGACACTCACTGTCTTGTGTGTAAGTGGGAAGGGGTGTTATATCCTTTAGTAAGAACAGGATGACTTGTGGTTTGTGCAGCCTACCCCAAATTCAGACAGATGGAGTAAAAACTGAACACAAAGTCCTTTCAGCCCTAAGAGATTATCAGTGTAGGAAGATACATTTACCCATTTTTCTGGACAGCTATCCACAGACTTTCTCCTCCTACATCCTTACTGAAACCTCCAAAATACAACATAGATTCAATGTACTATATTCCTCCTTCTGCTATTCCATCTGGTTACGTGCTTTTGTAGGTGATAACTTAATGGTTGCCACCAGTACTTCCCGGGATTACACAGTTGTTTTTTTTCACAGTGCTTCCATCAACTCATGCCCTTCCTCTGAGAAAGAAGTTCTAGATTTAGGTTAAACCATAGTGATACAAAGGAACAGTTACCCCCAGCACGGTTCTGTGGATTGAACACAGAGGCTGAATCAAGACATGTTTTCTTCATAAAAGTGTATCACTGCAGCAAGAGCAGTCCACTGATCACTTTAGGAAGAATTAATTAGAGACAAAAGAGATACTGAAAGAGCCTGAGCTAAATGGGCAAAAATAGAAAAAAAGGGACGAAGGTGGCTGGGAAAGGGAGGCAGCTACAAAAGAGAAAGAAACACTGAGTTAACCAAGAGGAGAAAAAATATGTTACATTATTTTATACATCATCATTGACAAAATATATCAATATCAGCAGATTCCTGGCTGGATCTGTGGCAAGCCCTGCATCTCCATCCCTCCAGCCAATGGTGAGGGAGCTGCAGGCACCTTTGTTTCGCTCACTTGGCAAGGAGTGGCATAGTGGGGCCCTTGTTAAAGTCCTAGAGCGGTTTAAGCAGCTTAAACTGCTTTATAAGCTTAAAGTATCTAAGTCTTCAAAGCTGCTTAAAGCTACTTAAGCTGCTTAAGACACTTTAGGTTGTTGAACTGTGCAGTGGGGCTGTACGCAGCCCCTGCAAACCTGTTCTGGCCTGCAAACCAAACAGTCCACCTTTGGATTTACAGGTCCCAGTAACAAAATTTCCTCATGGGGGCTGCTCTAAGCAAGGTCAGGTGAGCTGATTTTTCTTGTCTTGGGTCATAGAATCATAGAAGAGCTTGGATTGGAAGAGACTTTTAAAGGCCATCTATTCCAACTCCCATTGTCTAGTTGTCCCTCTGGGCTTTGGTATTAAGGCTGTCTTTGACACCTGATAGATTTGTCCCAGGATCTTTGAAATTCTGCAGGCTTTTTACTGCTGTTCATCCAAGGGTTGTGGTGTGTAATGGTATACCTGAAGCTAGCCAGATTTGTTAGGTCAGTCTCTATCCGTTTGCACAGCCAAATTCACAAGCTCCAGTGTTCGGTTATAAGAGAGAAAGTTCTCGTTCAGTATGAAATCATTACTCTGGTGTCTAAATATCATGCATGTTTTAAAAAGAACAAAAGGACCAGTGGATATTGACTGAAGCATGGCTTATCAGTTAACTCCAAACCTTAATATTTCTGAATTTTTGGAAAGTCATCATCTTATAATGATCCTCTCTTTGAGTCTCATGATTATCTTCTACTAGACTACAATAACAATGGTAACTCAAACACTTCCAGTGTTTACAGTCATATTTTGGTCAAGACCACAGTCCACTGTGATGAGCACAGATTTCTCTAGAAAACATTTTTGAGCCAGCTATTTTTATAGTGAGTAGTGACTAGAATTTGTCAAAAGTTTTATATGGATTTGAATTTCTAACAAAGAGCTTATTTTCTGAAGAACTTAGTTTTAAATAATAAAAAACATAAAATGGAAAAATGCATAGCTTTGCTCAGTTTTCTCTTGGGAGTATGATTATAGATTTATTTTGAGCTAACACAAAAAAATATAATTTTGGAGAATGCTGCTGTATTTGCACAGTAATTTTGGCTGGCATTTTCTTGTGTATAATGGAGTTCTGTGCTCCCCTAATTTGGACACATATATGTGGTACACCTTGACTGCAACATTTTGGGTTTTGAATGTTGAAATGTTCAGTTGTAATTCAGGTCCTCAAAACTTTCCAACTTTTCCAATATAATCTCATTTTTTTTCATTCCTATTTTTAAAATTTTGTAAATTAGAAAAAACTTTCTAAAATTTTGAATTAATTATTAAAATACAGAATTTCTCACAGATTGAGAAATTCTGGCTTGTTAGTTTTGCTGAGGTCTGTATCTGTGCTGTTGTTTTGCACTCACTGGCCTGAAAACAAAGATTTTGTACTTTTCCACTGGCAAAGATTATTTGATCTGTGTTTATTCTGGATATGTTTGTTTAATTCCTCATTTGAGCACTATCATAAATGATTAGGTCATTTCTGCCCTGGGAAACGAACTAGTTTAATAATTAACTTCTGCTTACAAAGCTCTTCAGCATGTCAGAAAAAATACCGCAGATTGTATACGAATCATAAAATTGTAGACCTCAGTGAAATCTCAAGGGTCTATGTAGTCTGCTATTCCTCAGTATTTTTAATCAAAGCTGTACCTAACCTTCCTGAGGTAAAATAAAAACAAACAAAAAATCCCACAACACAAAAATCAAAGGAAACAAAGGTGTTTGGTTTGTTTTTAAAAAGACCAGAGAACAACCTGTGCAATATTCCATAACAGCATACAAACCACACATGGTATTTTCAAATGCTTTCTTAGTGAAAACCTTTTATGGATTACCTTGTAATAACTTGAACACTTTGTCACAGTTTCAGGGATTTCAGCCACCTAATACATTCATCTGGTCCAGCTCCTAACCTTGAAGAAAGTAGCCAGTTGTCTTGATAATTGTGGATGGCAGTCCTTCTGATTCGTATCTAAAAACAATAATGACAGATTATACAACCTTCTTGGGTAATATATTCCAGCAATAATCTTTTCTTCTAGTTAGAATGTGTTACTGTAACATCTATTATAGTACACCTAAAAAAGATTTCCTTTACAATCTGCCCATGTCATTAGTGGGCATGAAAAAAACATAGAACTACTCTTTATATTAGCCTTTTGTGTACTCAAAGACTGTTGAACCCCACATAATCTTTTTTTTTTTTTTTTTTTTTAAGATTAAAACAAAACTAAAAATTGCAACCTTGCTTTATGGATCCAATTTTCCAAATTTCATCCTAGTTGATCTCTGGATTGCTTCCAGCTGATCTACATATTTCTTAAATTATGGTACCTCAGAGTAAAACACTATTTTAGCTGAGGCCTTACCATTGCCAAGAAGAACGTGCTAATTATCTCATCTTACATCTACTGTTCATATACTGTTTCAAGCAGACAATTCAACAGAATCTAGAATTACATTTATCTCTTTTCCTGAACAGCATCACACTGTTGACTCATTCATGGCCCTCATTAATCATTAGATCTTTATCTGCAATGCCATTCTGTGGTTATGCTTCTGATGCTATCCTCCCAAATATAGTCCTGTGCAATTGTCTTTATTCAGATTTTTAATGTTGGACTTCAGAACCTCTCAAGACATTTTTTAATACTAATTCTGTCCTTGAGCACATTTTGCAGATCTTTACATGGTGCCACCTACCAGGCTTAGTATATAATTATTTCTAATTCTGTCATCTAAGCTGTTATTGAAACATTGAACAGAAGCCTATCTGTCAGGAGCTGTGCAAGACGCCTTCAACGTCCCCCTAGTGCAGCTACCCACAATCAGGTATTAGGTTTACTTTTAACAGTGGATTGAATTAGAATGTGATTTCAAATGCAACAGCTTTCCCCAGTTCATTTATGTGCATACAGGACAGTGTCAAAAGCCTTTCTCAGGTCAAGATACTTCTTGGGTCAACATACGGTCATTTCTACCACTTTTCCTTATCTATTGGACCAGTTGCCTTATTAAAGAGGGAAATTAGATTAGTTTGACAAATTCACATTGGATGCTTCTTATCACCTTATTCTCATGGTGTGTATGAATTTACTTCTTGAGAATTTGTCTCATTATCTTTCTCAGTACTGAAGTTAGGCTGAGTACTCTGTAATTCCCTGGGTTCTTCATTTCCCATTTTTAAAAGCAGAAATGATTATAATCCTGCAAACCAGGGCTGCAGCCAACAACTTCTTAATAGTGTCGAAATCTGAGCCTGCTGTGAATGTCACATTTAAAAAATCTTACCAAATTTACCAAATTTATCTTTTATTTTCCATTTTTAAAACCATGTGCCATGAGGGCAAGAATTAAAGAAGAGAAAGCCTTTAAACCAACTGGGTGTTTGGTTTGAAATAATTTTCAAAATATGTTTTGTACTATCAGATGTCTGATCATTATCAAAAATTAGAAGTATGATGCTGACTGTATTTCCACCTTAGGCTACATAGTTGCTGTAGGCCCTGGTGACTTATCCACTCTTGCAAGAACTCTCAGAGATAAGTCAAGAGCCCAGTAGGTATTAAGTGAATTTCAGCAAGCTCTAGAAACTTCTGTACGTCTAACTTATTCAAACATTCTTTTACTTGTGGGTTTTTTTCCCTATTCTAGCCTATGTCCTTCCCCTGTTAAAAAATGGTGTTATGAAGTACCTGTCATTAATGTTTATGTGCATGTAAAGAACATAGCAAAATAAATAATAAAACATTTCACTCTACTCAGTGTGTCTATTATTTGTGCCTTTACACTTCTCTTCCCGTAATTTCTTGGTATTTATAGAACCTCTTCCATTTTTTACTCCAGGAAAGCTGTAACTAATTTTGTGACTGATTCTTCCTAGTTTTATCCCTAGATGTTTATGCCACTGCTTCATTACTCATCTCACTTCTGTGCCCTCATTTTCATTCTTTATAGAATTTCCTTTTCAATATTCAAGTCACTGGAGAATTCCTGATGCAGCTATACTGGTCTCTTACTACTTATCTTGTCTTCCACATCAGGATGGTTTGCTGGTACACCTACAGCACTGTTTCATTTACTCACAGATTTATTTTCCTTATGATGTCTTCACATTGGACAATTCTTAACAGCACCCAGAATTGCTGTTGTATACAGTAGTCCTTTTTTTTTTTTTTACTAGCTTAATTTAAAAACAAAACAAAGCTAGTGTGCTTCATCTGATGTTTTTCACATGAGAAAAAAATAACAGGTTTAAAATAGATAATGTGTGGCGCTAAGCAACTTAATTATATCCCATTTTAAAAAATTACTTTGCCAATGAAAAAAGGCATGTCAGGATTTCAGCACAATGATTTATGATTCTGTCACAGTGACAGATGTTCTTCATGTATCTCTGACATTGTAATCTGGAATCAATGTGCTTTTTTTTTTCATTTTTGCTGGTAAAAAGAAATGCACTATATGAATACACTGTTACTTGTCTGCAAGGCCTTGCCCTACATTAGCTTGGAAAACTGCCCCGTTTTTGAGGTGAGTTGTGTAGTAAAACCACTTTAATCATAATACTCTACCACAAAACCAGCACTTCAGTTTGGGCCCCCTTATTGGACAATTACCAGACTGATACACTCAAATCCAGCAAGGGTCTGGCATGCTGCTGTGCTCCTCTGAATCTTGGCAGACTTCAGCCATCATCTCCAGCTTCTTGGTTCATCCTGCAGGCTGAGATTCTTGATCTTAAGCGCCCCTTGTCTGTATTCAGGATTTATTGCCCATAACTCTAGGCTGCTGAGATGCAGAATTTGAGCCTAGTGGGAGAGAGAATCACTGAGGCGTGAACAGAGAAAGTCATTGACTCACAGCGGAAGAGAAGTGACAAACCGTACCAATCAGGATCTTCTTTCTGCCGTTCTCCACCTCACATTGCAATTCAATAAGCCTCCATCTCCAGCCCTTTCCTAGGTACAAAAATTGTTCTTGGCTCCCATTTTCCACTTAAAGGACTGCTGAGAGAAGCTGAAGGACCAAGACTTTAGCTCAGTAAAATAGTGGAGTGACACAGACACATGAATATCTATAAACATACTTTCTGAAGTTTTGCTGTTTGGGTGAAAATACACTGAAGTTCTCCACTAGCCCAGCTCAGGGATTGCACTTCTTCACAGCACAGCCACATTGGCGACAGTTTGTACAACAAGCATAGCTGAGGTTCAAGGTTCCCCAAAACATATCTCATCTTCCTGCCACAGCCCCTATCAGTTTCTTATTGTGAAGACATTGCTCTGTAGTCCAGTTCTCTGGTTAAGTTTACTGGTTTGCCTTGTTCAACTCCAAGTTCGCAGGAAAAGCTGCAGAGAACCTTCACCCATAAAAGGAAGAAGTTATAGGAAAAACCCCTTTGCCAGATACAGCTTTATAACCTATCTTCACTAGGAAAAAACATGTGTTCAGCTGTAGACTCACCCATAAAAATGTAGTGAAATGCTGCATCAAAGAATATTCATTAACAGTGAACTCTCCTGGCACCATTTTATGAACTTTTTGATAAGCTAGGCTAGGGAAAAAAATCAAATAGAGAGAATGGTTCTGCACTGAGGGAGCAAAAGATGTTAATGCATCTTTCTGATCTCTACTTTCCACAAGTGAGATAACGAACAGGTGCAATCATCAACAGGCAATCCAAATCCTGCATTTAAAGACTGACTTCATGATTATTATCAACAGAGGATAATATTGCTGCATTCTGGGGGTTCCTGAAAGCTGCATTACATATTAAACTAAACCAAGTCTGCCCTGCTTATTTCCACTGCCTGAGTAATAGTATCATGCATGATAAGTAAAAGGAGACAATCTACTGTAGAAAATGCCTAAAGCCTTCATGAAGATGGAGTTTAATTAAGAAAAGGCACAGCTACGTGTGTAGGGACCCAACAGAAACAAAATGAATTGTGTGTGCTGAGGGATGCTGGGATTCAGACCAGTCTGGGAGCAAGAGAGTCACATGTGTGGATCTCCAAGGCTGCTGAAAACCCCTCTTCCTCATCTAAACCAGCCCCACAGCTTCCAAATCACAGCTGGTGCACAGGACACAGGTGGTGCAGAGCAAAGGTGGAGAAGTTTGCTTCTAGCCATAAATGCCCACATGATCATGGTTTGAGATACTCAACCACAGCTAAACTTAGCAAAAATAGAACATAAAAGAAAATTACTTACATGAAAGCTACAAAAGAGCTTGTTTTCAAGATGATAGACCTTATCAACGTCAGTTCTGCAGAGCTTCAGACACCTGCAAAATTGAAAGCTTAGATTCTATTCTTTAGGGTTTAGGAAATCAACAAAAGTTAACCTTTAATTAATGAATATGCAAATAATTCACTACTGTGGTGCAAATACAGAAATCAAGTTTCAAAGAATGTTACTATTTCCTCTCTTTCTGAGGACTGCAGATCTTTTAATTTATTTGATTTTTTTTTTTAAATGCAGATCACATTGTTCAAAGATTTCAACTTGCAAAAACAATACATTTGTCAGCTACTACACAAACTTATTTGGGTTTGAAATATTTACAACGTGGCAGAAAAGCAAACTATGAATACAGTTCTTTGTGTTATTGCAAAGCTGTTCTGTTTACAAAATGTTCTTTTAGTTTTCTCTGTTTTGCAGAAAGCCAGAAACAGTAAGCAGTAATCATATTATTTCTTTTTAATCATACAACTTTAAATAGAAACCCTTAAGAAAAAAAAAGAAAGTAGTAATTCTTGATCATGGTCATGCACAGAAATATTCAGGTACTTTTAAGTCACAGCCATTCTATCTTAGTAATTTGGTTCATAGCAATAGAGTAATTTTAACTGGTTTCTCAGAGTGATGTTGGTAGGCACAAAGCAAATTCCCATTGAATGAAACCAGACCAGGAGCTTTGCTCCACAGCATTTCAATACTCAGTGGAGTAATTAGTCCTAAATCCTTGTGTGGACTTTGCATCACAAGGACCTCCAGCACATAACTAAGGTACATGTATTCCCTGAAGGGTGGTCTCAAAGCCTGAAGGAGATTGCATGGTCAGATGTATATACATATATATATATATATTTATACTTGCCAAAAAACTCAGGTAGTTGCAGTCTGCAGCCCTGAAGATATGATGTTTCCTACAAACCTGTATTATGAGAGAAAGAGGAGTTTCTCAAAGGGCAAGATAACTCAGTGGAAGTCTCAGAGGTTGAGCAAAGCCTTACAGCGTATGAAGTTGTAGCTACAGTAGGCTGGAAGCAGAAGGAGAATATGATTCTTGTCAATTTAGGAAGTCTTGGAGACCTTCTTAGATATCACCCACAGCACTGTTGAAGACAAAATCTCCATAACCTCTTTGCTCATGGTGTACCTGATCACCTCAAAGGAATTAGTGACCAAGAAGTAATGGTCAGAGGTTGCAAGACTCTAAAAGATGGCAGTCATTTATTTGGACATGGCTATGGGTTCTGAAATCTCATGTGAGGATGTTGAAGGTATGGCACCAACTCAGAGAAGAGGGCCTTTTGATGATGCCCTTCATCATCCAAAAGTCTTGTGCCCACCACTGGTTATCCTGTCTATCTGTCACATTTGACATAGTTAACACTTATTTTAAAATTTGTGTTCCATATTCAAAAACCACTGCAGAATCTGAGCCTCAACAAAGTATTATGGAGGGACAGTAGCATTTTTATGCCCTTCAGTGACATCAAACTGCTCAAACAAGATCTTCCCAGAGCACTGCAAACACTCCTAGAAAAACAGAGCTTAAAACATTGCCATAACAGTACTGGGACACCCCTTGACTGTTCTAGTCCATTAGGTAATCTCAGGTGGAGAGTAAAGCCAAATATCCATGAGTAAGTCTTGTGACTCAACTCCTGCTTCAGTAATTGGAGGTGGCTGAACATACATTATTGGAATTTTGTCAGGTAATGATGATCTTTTAGCGTATCTCCACAAAGTTGTTAGCTCTAACAAAATCAAGAATGTTAACAATGTGTGCTGGTTTTGTCTGGGGCAGAGTTAATTTTTTTCACGATGGCTAGTATGGGACTGTGTTTTGGATTTGTGCTGAACACAGGGTTGATAAGATAGTTTTTGTTGTTGGTGAGCAGCACTTACACAGTGCCAAGGCCTTTTCTGTTTTTTGCACTGGCACGCTGGCAGGGATGTTGGGGGTGCATGGGAAGCTGGGAGGAGATACAGCCGGGACAGGTGACCCAAACTGACCAAAGGGATATTCCATACCATATGACATCATGCTCAGTGGGAGGAAGAAGGAGGAAGTGGGGGATGTTTGGAATGGTGGTGTTTGTCTTCCCAAGCACTAGGGCCTTGCTCTCCTGGAGATGGCTGAACACCTGCCTGCCCATGGAAAGCAGGGAATTTATTCCTTGCTTTGCTTATGTGTGCAGCTTTTGCTTTCCCTATTAGACTGTCTTTATCTCAGCCCACAAGTTTTCAAGCTTTTGTCCCTCTGATTCTCTCCCCAGTCCCGCTGGTGGGGCAGTGAGTGAGCAGCTGCATGGTACTTCCTTGCTAGCCAGGATTAAACCATGACACCATATTACATCAAATCTGCCTTTCAGCTACAACAGCTCAAATCTGCTACTTCACTGAAGTCCTGCTCAATTCCTTTTTAATTACATGATTAACCTATCAACAGCTTACCGATAAAAAAAACTGAGAAAATGGCTTAAAATAATTATAGGAGGATTTCAATCGTTTGAACTCAAAGGATTCTAACCTAAGAAGACTGCAGCCAGCAGGTTACCTACCAACTCCTTTGATCATTTCTATGTTTGCTTGTTGTCTGGAGAAGTGGATGTAAACACTCACTAGAAATGCTACAGTCTACTTCAGTCCTCCTCCAAGAGAATCTTCCAGTGTGTTTATTACAAATGCAAAGAATTGAGACTCTGTAATTGTGAGGCAATATTATGATTTTTTCACCACTCTGGATTTATGAGAAATCAGGTGCTTTTTATTTTCAATTAAATCTAAAGATGAGATATGGGAAAATGGAAAAGAATTGTTATAATTTCTGTCATTTAAAAAATAATAATATGGGTCCCGTCTTTCTTTTTCTCACCATAATTTTTTGATTGTGTAAAATAGCTCACTGTATACCAGTGGAAATACATACACTTCATTTTGAGATAATTCATTTAATTTTCCAGACTGGCTTCCTTTTCAGGTCTCTTCATTACCACATTAGCCACAGCCTGCCGCTGCACACCCTGTGCTACTCATCAAAACGCATTTTCCTCAGCTTACAACCCCTCACCTACAGCCCATTTGTCCTTCGGTTGAGGTATTATGCATTGCCTCAGTAACCTCTTCTGTATGCACTGTCCATATCTACACCAAGCCGCTCCCTCTGTACCCTTTTCTTTTTCATCCTTTGTTGAAGCCTGCATTTATTTTCAAAGACTCCTCTACTCAGCCTTTTATGTGTGGTGCTTTAAACCCTTTTATTCCCCTGAGCATTCCCAGCTATCCATTCTTTCCCTGAGAGGGAGGTGGATCTTCCTTGAAGTCATTATTCAGGGAAAGGAGACTAAGCCCCATTATTTGATTGATTTCACTAGTCATTGAAATGAATTGTAAGTAGGCACAACTAGCAAATGCTTGTTAAAATGGTTAATTTGATCATTTCTTTTCAGTGATAGTGGGAGCACGTAAAAATCACAAAATGAGTAATGGAGCAAAATGGCAAGAATTATGTTTTGTCCTTTGAAATAATATTAAATGACAACATAAATCCTGTAGAAATACTTAAGGGGTATTACTATATCTACCAAGAGTTCATTATGTCTTACATTATTAGAATGAAAGGCAAAGAAATGAGTGATTAGATTATGATGTTAAAGCTGCACCATTTTTATTTAAGCAATTGCATTACTCGTAGTGCAGTGTGCCAGAAAAATGACTGGTTTGATGACAGATCTTTTCTATTACAAAGCCCCTCTTAAAATAATTCTCAACAAGACAAAGTAAGATACAAAATATCTTTATAAATGTGGGGAAAATGAGAAATTATTCTGATGATCTAAATTTGCCTAAAGCACTTGCTTGTATGACAAAATCACTGGAATAATTTGTGTAACTTAGTGATTTCATGCAGATTAGGTTGAATGTTTAAATAGGGTAGTGATTAGGACAGGAAAGACAGTGAAAAAGCTCTTCAAACAAAATCTTACCATGGTCTGCCTCACTTATGCATCATTTCAGTCAATACCAGAAATCTTGTATCTTACTGAGGGGAAAAAAGAAACAGAAAAAAATTTTTTTTTTTTCTTAAAAATAAACCTGTCTACCATCAACTTATGAAAAACATAAACAACTTCCTGATTATAGTTAATTGAAAGATGTTGGAAAAATGCTACACTGGCTTCAAGTGAACAGGCTAAGTTTCCATTGCCAAATATTGGAGTGTGATTTCCAATGGTTTTATCAGAATTGGACATGTAAACAGAATAGAAAGTAAAATATGGAGAAGAACATTAAGATTCCAGTCATGTCTGACAGCGTCTCCAAACAAGTCTATGACAATTGCTGAAAGTATGGTTGGAACCCACATCACTGCATTTTGCCAGAGGACTGTACTAATGACAGGCATCCTATGTTTGGAGACCTCATTCAGGCGTTAATGTGTTCTGTAACAGTCTTAACATTGAAATTTCCTGTGGGCTCAGCATTTGTTAACGTCTGGCCCTGGTCTCTAGGCTTTGCTCAAATAGAGGAAAGGAGCTGCAGTAACTCACCACTCCTCCGTGGCCAAGGGCTTCTCTCCAGCACCTCCCCAGAAGCATTACAGCCAGTGCAGTGCCAAACCTTTTGCCATCACCTTTTGCAGTTCCAGTCATAGGGGTCTCTCAGGGATGGCTTCTGTGCAGAGATCCCCAGCTGCCAAAAGTGCCCTGGAAGCCATAGAAAAGGTACATTACTTTAAGGACTGCACTAAAACAGTTTTTGAAATATTATTACAATTGGTCTTTGGACTAAATCGCCTTAAGGCACTCCCTTTAGTAGCGCAAGCTTGATTCCTGTGAGGAACTACTTCTTCTTGGATGTTAATCCTTCGATTATGTATTCTCTGTCTCAATAACTTTATTGTACACTTAACAAGAATAGAATCATATTTCATGCATCTCTTTCTAGCAGTGATCTGGAAGCACCTTGAAACTGGTTGTTATTATTAAGTTTGCCTATGTTTGCATGCAGTTTGCTAACGCTTCCCAGACCAGACAGCAATGACCCTTTGTTCCACGCTAAGCCCTGAGCTTATCAGAGCTGTGGCAGTGGGTCCATCTTTATCAGAGAAGTGCTGGTTCCTTGGTTGAAATTCCTTAGATCTTTCTGAAGCCATCTGGGAATACTGTCTGAAATAAAAGGTCACTCTAACTGAAGTCTGTGCAAAACAGTGATTGCAGCAAAGCAAGTATCCTTCAGAATGTAGTGTCTTCCATACACCAGTCTCTTATATGCATACAGAGATACGTTTGCATAACTTGTATTATTTATGCTGTAGGCTTCATCAGTTTTCCATATTAAAATGGGATGATTTCATATTCACTCTGTGGCAGCATATGCTGATCATCCTGGAAAATATTAATCGTTTTTCTACTGTTTCTATTCTATGCAATCATTGTTCCATCATTTCTATTTTCACAGTGGATGAAAACTTACCCACTGGTGTCATTGTAAGATGATAGTCTACTACCAGGTCCTTACTAGACACATAAAGCATTGCTTAAAAAATTTATTTAATAAAGAAATAGGAACTCAGTGACAGGAAATACCATTATAGACTTTAGAATACCAGGAACATAATTAGTACTGTGGTATAATGATGAAAAAAAGCAATAAAATAATTTTACTCCATTCTGTAATTTTTGAAACACTGTAAAATTATCGTGTCAGCAGGGAATGGTTGGTTTCTTTAAATTTCATCTGTATTCTGTCTTAGGGCTATTTTCTATTTAAAAGAACACAATGCAGTGAATACTGTACAAATGAATTTTGAATTCACATAGTACATGAGTGATTGTCTTTTTTCAGGTTGAGAATCTTACAATTAGGAGAGTTTATAGTGTCTGAAGAATCATTGGCTCTGTGATCCCAGGAAAAAATGTGAGACGTGAGCATTTGATCTGTTATCTCTGCAAAGCCATGGAGGCTCAGGAGGGCAGAAATAATAGCATTACGTACCAGCCTTATCCAAAGCAAAGAGAAATTACATGGTGCCAGTTTGAAAAATTCAGAGTGACAAGAGGAACCAACATGCTTGATATATTTAAATTTTGTAGAAAACAAAACCTAATATCTCATAAAATAGTCACACAATAGTCACAGAATCAGAGAATATGCTGAGTTGGAAGGGACACACAAGGATCACTGAGGCCATCCCTTAGCTCTGCACAGGACCATTCCCAGGAGTCACACTATGTGCCTGAGGGTATCAAGCAAACATTTCTTGAACTCTGTCAGCCTTGGTGCTGTGACCACTGCCCTGGGGAGCCTGTTCCAGTGCCCAACCACCCTCTGGGAGAAGAACCTTTTTCTAATGCCCAATCCAAACCTTTCCTGACACAACTTCAGGCCATTCCCTTGGGTCCTGTCACTGGTCACCACAGAGATCAGTTCCTGCCCTTCCTCTTCCCCTCATGAGGAAGCTCTGGACTGCAATGAGTCTCCCCTTGTCTCCTTCATGCTGAAGAGACCAAGTGACCCGAGCCACTCCTCCTACAGCTTCCCCTCTAGATTCTTCACTGTCTTCATGGCCCTCTTTGGATGCTCTCTAACAGTTTAGTATCTTTCCTATATTGTGGTGCCCAAAACTGCACACAATATTCAAGGTGAGGCCTCACCAGTGCAGAGCAGAGTGGGACAATCCCCTCCCTCAACCAGCTGGCAATGCTTTGCCTAATGCCCCCCCGGACACGGTTGGCCCTCCTGGCTGCCAGGGCACTGCTGACTCACATTTAATTTGCCATCAAGCAGGACCCTCAGGTCCCTTTCCACAGCACTGCTTTGCAACCTCTCATTCCCTAGTCTGTCCGTACATCCAGGGTTGCCCCATACCAGGTGCAGAATCTGACACTCTCCCTTGTTGAACCTCATATGGCTGGTGATTGCCCAGTCGTCTCATTTGTTGAGGTCTCTCTGCAGGGCTTCCATGCTTTAAGAGAGTTAAGAGAAGTTGTAAAGCAATGAACCACTAGATCAATTGGAGTAAAGACATGAGAAACAAAAGCACAACACAAAGGACACCAAGTGCCATCTCCACTTCCTGCTGATGGCCATGTCAAAACATCCCCTGCACTAATTGTTATTCCTACCCTATATGAAAAGCGATTATTTAAAGTGCTGATCAGAGAGATCATTGTGCCACAGGTCTGTTCCAAATCCTTACATGTTTTTGTTTCAGAAAGAGAACATATTGGGCCAAATCCAGCTAGTACATGTTAAACAACAGCAAAAGCACTGAAATCAATGTGCTTGCTGTATCAATACTGCATTTGCTCTGTATCCAATATTTATTTGCTCTGTATCCAGTATTTATTTTCTATTGACTGTATTTATGAAATATCTACAATAGAAAACAAACACATTGGAGGATACCCAATTCTGGAAGCCATCTGATTCTCTGCTTTTTATTTACCTTAACTATTTTCAGCAGGATACTGGAATTCAAATTTTTTAAGAAGGAGAACAGTCAGTCTGAGCTTCTATATATAGTCAGTCAGCTTGCTGCTATTTCATTAAAACCTAATGTAGACTGAACTAAACACTTCTCTGAACTAATTTATCAGATATGGAAAACTTCAGAATACTAAATCACTTATGGTTTCATTTTATATTGATGAATGTAGGGAGATGTATTGACATCTTAAAGATTCATGTATTTATAGTATAAAAACACAGTAGAGAAGGAAAGACAAGACCTGACAGAGACACAAGTTCAGTGGAACCACGCCTGGTCAAGAAATGGGACTGAGTTCTTTTATGAGAAAGGGGGACAGGAGTTCTAGGTGCAAAAAATAGGCTTTGGTGATGGGATTTAAGGCAACTCAGGAAGCCATTCAGTCTGTTCCAGTCAGCAAAGGCAGCATGGTAGAAGGAGCTCACTGCCAGCTGTGGTGAAAGCAGCAGAGGAAACATAATATTTAAACAATTCCCATTGAATTCCATAAAAAGCCTATGTTCAAAGAGTGTTAGGGTTGCAAAGCTGGGTACTCAGACAGTAGGAAATGCCTGTTTAAAAGTTTCCCAGAAAAATTACACTTGTAACTCTTATATGCACTGTAAAATCTTTAATTACAGGATAACGTATACCTTTTTACATGGCACCTTTGGCCTTTCTGCACACTTGGAGGGCATACATTTAATGAGTAACTATTCATTAGCTTGTTTTATCCTCATTGTTAAGTGCATGGCCTCATGCCTCATTTACTATATTTTACTCAAACTCTGCCCTGCATACACTATTAGTAATATCCTCATAGGATCACCCATGTAATTTATTGCTATACTTCTTAGTGCTTCACAAACATTAATTAATGTCTCCAACTTCCTTGAAGGGACATGTCATTTTTCTTACTTTTATGGTTTGGAATAGTGTGAGATGACAAAGGACTGATCTGTTTTTTCAGGAAGGCCCATGTTCCTGTGTGCCGGATTCCTATTTGTGTCTCCTCTTGAAGAAATTACCTATCACCATTTCCTTTTTCCATCCTGGTGTGAAGCTGGAGCCCCTTCTGCCACAGGAATACCATGCCAGCCATCTGGTAAGCTAGTGAATCTCTCTGCCCTTGATTATTTTGGGGCAAGTCTATCCCACTGGGCCATCTGCAGCCTTAGGTATGACCAGGCATTTCCCTGAAAAGGCAAACAATCTGTCCAAACCTACTGCTTGAAGGAGAGAAGATCACTGTGTAAACAGAAACAGGGAAGTGTTCCTTCAAACGAACCAGGCAGCCCTCCAGGAGATGCTGCTCCCGCAGCTCCTCCCGTGTTAGTGCTGAGGGTATTCAGTGAGGGTTTGAGTGGCTTCTCCACTTGGCTGCAGCACACAGTGGGGGACCAATGCCACTGGCCACAGCTCGCAGCTGCCACCAGAAAATTCCTGACCTCCTACCTTGCACCATGACATGACAGCAGTACAGCCATTATATCCAGCCTGCCTTGCTGTGGTCTTGCCAGCATGGAGCATATGGCCATCCCATTCAGCCAACCTGGTATTCCTGCTCCTCCCAGAGCCACAGCTATGGCATATACCATTGGGCCCTTTCTCCTTGCTGGTAGGAAGAGAGCCTCTCCTCTGTGCCAGCCAAAATGTGTCCCTTGAGCAGTAGAGCCCGTTTACTGTAGCTTTCCTGGGCTCATAGCCCATCAATGATTTCCTGACAAAGTGAGTTCCCACACCGATGCATTCACTGCGACAGTGCTGCTGGCCTGCGGGAGATGCAGGTAGTTCAGCTGATTCTCCCACACTTCTAGAAAGATTGGCACTGTACAGTGTAATGAATTAATTGAATACTTGTAATTTCTCTGTAATCATAACTTTCTGTATTTTTTTATTTCTGTAGTAAAATTAATGGTATTTTTCTTTGTTTTGTAACAAACCCCTTTTCCAGTAAAACATATGACTATGTTTGCCAGGAAAATCCTATCCAAAGACAGACAGAGAAATACACAATCTTTTCCTAAGGTAATTGGGTTACCTAACAAGGAATTAGCCCTTCCAGAAACTCAAGAAAAGACCCCTAGACAAAGTAATCCTTCTTCCAGGAAGAAAGCAGACAGAATAAACTTTCCTTGTAGAATTCAAAGCCCAATACACATCTTCGGGCCAGGAAAGAAAAGATAAGATCACTGCAAGCATCAAGCAGCTACTAAATTCAGGCA